AAACAAGCAGAAGAAAGAAGAACAAGAAATTCAAAATTTTTTGCTATGATCATTACAGACATTCCCAGAACTTCTGACTCAGTCATTACATAGATATTGTTATAAAAAGGAAACACTGTATACCGATGAACAATCCGAGCCATCCCCCTACATAGGCAGTGCTGCCCCCTGCCTGATACTTGTACAAAGAGTAATTACAAATAATTAGTCTGTCTGCATCGATTGTTAACTCTTAATCACAACGGATTATATTGAAAGCTTCTGTTTTATTTATGATTATCTTAAGATGAATCTACGGTTAATAATTTTGTTTTCTTCAGATTTAGATACATTATTTTCTATGTATCTTTTGAATCAATTATTACATATTTATTGAATAAATTATAGGGGGAGAAATGTACCAATAAACTGGTTAATAAAAATAGTGAAAATATAAGTGAATTAATAGTGAAGTCTGTGCTCAATTTAGAACATCATTGAAAAAGATTAAAGATACTTTTATAACTACAAACACTAGTTAATAGATGGAACTTTTGATATAATTTGTTTTAGGTTCATGTCGTTACACTGCCACTTATTCCCAAATTTTGACTTTTGCCCATCCTGAACCGAAGCCACTTGATTCAGGTCATTAGGATAGTTTTCATTCAAATGGATAGAGGGCACTTCAACGGCAGGTGGCGCTAGTTGATTCAGCGCAGTAAAACGTGAAAGTAAGTAATATCATAAGCATAGGAATAATAAAATATTTTATAATAAATTACGCTTCTGAAATTTATTATTTTACCATGCGTTTTCGTTTTATCCTCTTAGACCCTTTGAATATATACCTCCAACTGTTTGGTATATCACTCATTCCTATCTTAAATGTGAACTCGTTTTTCACATTATAAAAAAAAAATTCTTGAATTTATTTTAAACTTGCTTTATGATAATTTTTAAGAAACTCGAGAACGTCTTTGTTGTACATATTTCTAATTTAAAGTTGCTAATATAAACTACATTTTATAATTTTATAATCTGTTCTCACTGTGTCATTTCGAAATCATAAAATAGAAATGGACTAAATACGGATTTTCTTTAACCTGAAATATTCGCGATATCCTTCCGAAACGTTAAATATTCAAGAACATAGAAAGTGTTACTTAAAACCACTAAGTAAGTTTATGCTAAACAGAAATTCTCTCTTTCCAATTAATTTTTTTTTTAAGAATAAAATATCTCAGGTATTTAAAATACTGTATTCGTTACGAATTGCCCTTCAATGGCACAGCGGTATGTCTGCGGACTTACAACGCTAGAATCCGGGTTTCGATACCCGTGGTGGACATAGCATAGATAGCCCATTGTGTAGTTTTGTGCTTAACTACAAACAACAACTCTCTAACTTACTTTTCTTATAAAAACCGTATTTAATAAAACTGTAGCTCCATATTTTTGAAGGCTATAGATAAAATGTTTTTAATTGTGTACCAGTTTAACGTTGAATATTATTTATGATTTTAAACAAACAATCGTTACGAATTACGAAGCTTGAGCAAAGAGCAACGCTTGGACACAAACTCCACATTTTTTACTAAACCGATGAACTTATACTGACTTTATCTTAATTTTATTCCTCACTTACAGGTGTCATAAATCATCGGATGAAGAGGAACGGTAAAATCTCCGAAAGGAAGATCGCTAAAACATTGTTCTGACAGTGAATCAAACTACTACGTTTCATTGGGTATTTTTCTTGTTTTTTATTATTATTATTATTATTGAATTTGGTTTTAATATATTCCATTAGAAATTTAGCAAAAATATAGGGAGTAAAAGAATAAACAATTCAATTGAATTCAATTTTTAAGAAACACGTTTTAATACAAAACCAAATATAATTACATAGGCTACTGTTTATAATTTTTGATTATTAGTGAAATACAAATATTAGGCGTAATTTCAATTTTACTAATGTGTTTAATTGATGTACTTACTTATGTGCCTTTTCAATTAACTGCAGGTTCCGGAAGCCAAAGTAACAAATCCTTTTCCGCCAGGAGAGCTATTTGACGGCAACAATATGGTTATGGAACGGCGACAATGTGGTTATGGAACGGCGACAATATGGTTATGGAACGGCGACAATATGGTTATGAAACAGCGACAATATGGTTATGAAACGGCAACAATGTGGTTATGAAACGGCAACAATGTGGTTATGAAACGGCAACGATGTGGTTATGAAACGGCGACAATGTGGTTATGAAACGGCGACAATGTGGTTATGAAACGGCAACAATGTGGTTATGGAACGGCAACAATATGGTTATAGCTGTGCTACCGTTCTTTGTTGATGAAAGCCCTTATATGCCTTTTGATACACGAATAAATAAATACATTCCATCATAATGAATCGTTCATTGTTATCAAATCTTATTTACATTATATGGATGAACATAATTAGTTTATATATATATATACACACTGTAATTTTGTAAAATGAACATATATATATATATATGTATATAAGAAAAGAATGAAAATAAGTTTCATACTTTGTATAGTTTTAAACATAAACCATGGTTAGTAATTACAAGAAAACTGAAACAAATGTGTGTTTATAATATATATATATATATATATTATTTAGTTTTAAGTAGCCATTTGACGTGACACGTAAAAGAGAACCGAGCTACTGGCTTTGAAATAAACTAATAATTTGGGCAACCGGATATAAGCCTAAACGTGAATGAATATGATTAATACCTAAAACGTGTATTACAATTAGTTCAAGTGCGAACTTCTCGGTTATATAAGGGTAGCTGAACCACGGAATTTGAAATTTGAATGAATAGTAAAAAAATTACTTTACGGTTTTATTAGAAATAACAACAATTGAACCACACACTCCTGGGACTATGGAAAATAAAAAACTATATATATATATATATATATATATGTATGTGTATTAAAAAATATATTGATTGCCTATCTATCCGTAAGACTAGCCCCCCAGTGGCACAGCGGTATGTCCGCGGACTTACAACGCTAGAAACCGAGTTTCGATACCCGTGGTGGGCAGAGCACAGATAGCCCATTGTGTAGCATTGTGCTTAACTTCAAACAAACAAACAATCCGTAAGACTAATAAACAGAACAGAATATCTATGAATACAATTTTTCCCGGTGGAACAGCGGTAAGTTTACGGACGTGCAATTCTAGAGTCCGGGGTTCGATTCGCCGCGGTGGACACACCAGATAGCCCAATGTGACTTTGCTCCAAAACTGAATTAAAAACTATAGACTTCGTTAGAAAAATATGCTCTGAAATTCATATTCGGAACTTATAATACCTCTTATATAACCCTGCTCGTTCCAGATTAACCACTGACTAATCGCAAAATTAAATTTGTCGTATTCGATATTTTCTTAGTTTTATTGGTGCGTAAAGTGATTTCTTTTTTTTATTCGGACGTTCAATGAAACAGACAACACACCCGGTTTTGTTTGTTTGTTTTCAGCACATAGTCTTACAGGGGGCTACGTGCACTGTGTTCATCTCGGGAATCGAACTCCGGATTTTACAGTTGTAAGTTTGGAAACGCACCCAATTAGGTGTGTGATAAACTATCGAGTAATTGGGTGGTACTTAATTTATAGGGAAAGAGAGAAAACAGCCCCGGCATGGCTAGGTGGTTAGGTCGCTCGACTCGCAATCTGAGAGTCGCGGGTTCGAATACCCGTCACACCAAACATGCTCACCCTTTCAGCCGTGGGGGCGTTATAAAGTGATGGTCAATCCCACTATTCGTTGGTAAAAGAATAGCGTGCAGCGACTGGAAACAAACCATATAGAAAAATCTTTGATTCACACTCCGACACACTAACCGCTAGGCCACGCCTTACCAACACATTACTGTCGTAAATTGAAGATTTATTGGGACTTCATTCTTTATTTATATTCATTTCAAAACTCAATTTTATAAAAGTGATATGGAATAAGCACTATTATTTTTATCTAATACGAACTTCTGCTTTTGCTCACAGACAAAGAAAAAAAAATTGAAACGTATTACTTTCACCTTCTTGAAGAATATTTAATTAAAATTTGAATACCCTCTATTAAAAATCTAAATCACATGTACGGAAACCGTATAAACGTTACCGAAGTTAATATATACATTTGTTTGTTTGTTTTGAATTTCGCGCAAAGCTATACGAGGGCTATCTGCGCTAGCCATTCCTAATTTAGCAGTGAAATAGAGGGAAGGCAAATATTCATCACCACCCACGCCAACAATAGTGGGATTGACCGTCTATTATATTGCGTGTCGAGCGCTCTAACCATTTGGCCATGCCGGGCCAATAACGTTAAAGTTTACATTGCAGTATAGTTGGTTTTTTGATAATGTTTGTTTGTTTGTAGTTAAGCAC